AGCTCAAGAGTTTTTTCTTTGTTTGCGGTCAAACGGGGATGACTCCCAGTGCACGGATTTGCTCGTGGTCCAATTTTTGTCTCCCNTTGTGTACGTCGTGCCGCGTTGGGTGCGTTGCTCGCCGCGCTCCTTGTGTTAGCCTTCCCCTGTTGCCCTTTTTCTTGTTTGTTTGTTTCCCGTAAACAGCGGCTTCGATTTACACGTATGCTGAGCGGGGTGTTCATCCATGACCATGAGTTAGGAGGTCTAGGAGAAGGAAGACAGCTCAAGAGTGTTTTCTTTGTTTGCGGTCAAACGGGGATGACTCCCAGTGCACAGATTTGCTCGTGGTCCAATTTTCGTCTCCCGCGTGGAGTGAGATTGTGCGGGAATGTTTCCTCTAATACCCGAATTGTTCGTCTTCTACCGACCTGTCGGGCGTGTTTCTTTAGTTTTAGGGGGATGGGTCAATAAGCACTTGCTGCCAAAATTTTCTCAGGGGGAGAGGGATCCCCTTCTTTCCTAACTCTGGGACACTGCTGTCCCGACGATTTCGCATAATATCAGCTAGGAACGGTATCTCCGGTATTTCTTTCTGTTCGGCTTGGATATTTAGCCTGTGAAATATCAACCCTCGAGCATCCCTATGAAACTCCCGAGCACGTCGTACGGGCGGGGGGGTCGCGAGGTATGGAGTCTTTCCCACTGGTGTCATTGATATGGTCTGGCGAACGAAGCATTTTGTCCATGTTCCATGTCGATGTTTCCTGAGATTAATCACAGCGAAAGGCGGGTGGAGGAATTAATGTAGCGGAATTGATATCGCCATATCGATTATATCCGCGTGATGATTTTCATTTGGGGGTTCAGCAGATATCCGCGTGATGATTCCCGTTTTTGGCTTGGTGTTGCGCGTGACGAGACGCCATAGAGTCATGGTACGGGGACCTCGGTATGGCCGCATTTCGTGAGAGGGTTTTTATACCAAGGAAAATATACTCGGCATTGGTTGACATAGTTTTTTTGGGTGACCGCGTAAGTAACTGTTTCGCGTAGAACAAGCTATCTTCGACGCTGTGTTCTTCATAGGAAAAGGTTGTGGATTTATTCGCGTGAAATGTTGACTAGCGAACTTCTCAAATCTCGGATGGGGGGCTGCCAGGTGTGTTATCGGGCACAATTAACAATCGGTAGATCCTTGCGGGTCAATTGAGTGTTGGAGGCTTCGTTTGTCATGTATGGGTGTACACTGCTGTCACACTCTCTTTCGCGAGGCTGCCGATCTTTCACTCTTAATCACAACTTCTTGCGCGTGACTTTGCCCATGCTCATTTTTCTCAGCGGCCGGCCTCCATGGGATGAAAATGCAAACAAACGAGAGATGGCACCTGGCCCTGCGATACGATTGTCACTGGGGGCACCCTCATGGCGGTGCAACCGTCTCTTGTTTCGCGTACGAAAACCGTTGTAGGTACGGGCCAACACAGCAGTACCGGTGTTTCGCCACCCTGCACACAACATGACGTGCATGACAAGTTTTTACCTGCCGGACCACTAAACCACAAATTGTGCAGGTGCACGTTTCGTTTTTCGGTGTCGTGGCATGTACTGCTGTAGCTCTCTTTTCCAAAACATCCGTTGGAGTCTGTGGCCACACATGTGGGTACACTCGACCCCGCAAAAAAAATAAACAAAATTATTGTGCGCACGCGTCATGCGATGCTAACACAAACCGAACCGTGCTGAGTCTAATCGGGACACAAAAATAATGCTGCGAAAAACAAGCAATATAAAACAGTCCTCCGCCAGCAGAGCGAAGGAAACTCCGGCTACATACATTATGGCCTAGAGGCTTCCCGCACCCGTCAGAATAAAAAATAGGGTTAGTTGAAAGAAGGTGCAAGGATGGATCGAGAAAAATAAATCCATCGAGACACCTATGCCAATGCGCAAGACACGCCGACAGTTGCATGCGAAGGGCGAAGACGCGCAAGCCGCGGACGAGGGAAGCGAAAACAGGCTAGACACGAAAGAAAAAAAAAACATATCGAGATACGATTACGAGGAGACAACAACAATACGGCAAACGCAAGGTCCCAACAAGGCAACGCAAAAGGCAAAGGAAACTCCACGGAGCCTGTTGTCACACTTGGATACAGTCGCAACCGCAAAGAAAATAAACAAAACTATTATACGCACGCGTCATGATACTAAAACAATCTGAAACCCGATGGGGCTAACCCCTCGGGGCACAAAAATAAATGTGGCGAAGAGCAAGCACACAAAAGACAGTCCTGCTCCAGAAGAGGGAAGAAAACTCCGCCTAAACTGGAGGCTGTTCCACACCCATCAAGCAAAAAGGTGCAAAGATGGACAGAGAAAAGAAAGTATACCGAGACACAAATGCCAAATCTGATGACAATACGCAAGAACACAGACAGTTGTAGTATGCTAAGGGCCAAGACGCGCAAGCCGCCGAAAGGGGAATCGAAAACAGGTCAGATACGAAATAAAAAAAGAGGTCACATACGACGAGGAGACAACAACAACACGGCAAAGTATCAACAAGGCCCAGGCAAAGGCAAAGGCAAGACTTGGCAACAAGGACCAA